TGTGTAGTGCATGGAGCTTTGGGGGCTGGCTGAAAAAACTTGCCAAATTCCAAGCAGGATTTCAGCACGGAGCTTTTTCAGCCAGACCCCAGGGATGAGAGGGAGTCCTCTCAGCATGTGGCAGCGACTTGTGACTTTCCTTGCCAGCTTCCCCATTGACTTTCTATATAAATTGCTATATAAATTGATTTAATAAATAAAATATTATTTTATTCTCTGTATTTTATTTTGTTTTATATATTTTTAATGTATTTTACTGTTTTTAGCTTTATTGTACGCTGCCCAGAGTCACCTGTGGTGAGATGGGTGGCTATATAAACTGATTTAATAAATAAATAAATAAAGCGAGTGAGCGAGCAAGCTGGCAGGGAAGATTGCAGATGGTGATCACATTGTCAAGGGCCCAGATCACCATAACTTCAGGTACAGGTGGTAAGTCCCTTAGTTCAGCACCATCATAACTTTGAACAGTTGCTGAATGAATGGTCATTAAGTGAGGACTACCTGTACTAACTTTTCTTGGTTTATGTGCCACCAAAGAAAAAAAGCAAATTCCCTTTGTGGGAGGGTAGAGGATTATTTCACTACATCCCTCCTCCTGAGAGTATTGTACAGCATAAATAAGGAGGTGCATTGGGAAACCATTGCTTAGCGATGAGGATTCAGAGGAACAGTCCAGATTTCACTTTGTGGCCCAAGATCCAGACAAAATCTGTGTGTTTGGAAGGATTTATTGGGAAAGAGCAAATCCTCATGGCTCTCCTGGGAAGTTTGTCTCAGTTTTGAGAATTCTGCCTTTAGTTCCCTGGGTCTCAGTTCCCTGCAAGGGCAGGCATTTTGCCCTTGGAGAACTGCCAGGCAGACAGTTCTCTTGAGATCACTCTCTGTTGCAGCGGGAAGAGATATGTGGGAACCTGACCCTGCAGCACCATATGCTGGAACCGGTCCAGAGAATCCCTCGCTACGAGCTGCTCCTGAAGGACTATCTCCTCAAACTGCCCCAGGACTCGCCTGACTGCAAGGATGCCCAAAGTGAGTGCAGCTCTCAGGGGACAACAAAGAGCAGAGCAGGGCAGTGGGTAAGGCAGTGTCCTAGTCAGAGCAACATGGGAGGGAAAATAGAGTAGTTGGCTCCTGGGTCATTAGGGGATATGCCTGCCCCACACAGCTATTAGAATCTCTGCGTCGCTTAGCAACATCTGGAAAGCTGTGAAAAAGGTAGGAGACCAAGGCAAGCGGACAAAGGGACTTACACGCTACTCACAGTGGCCAGTTGGCTAGCTAGCTAGCCACAGTGGCTGCTCTCTATTCCATTGGGAGTCTGCAATGTGGTGAGCACCAGGCTGCTTTCTGGATCCACAAAAGGTGCCCCTTCCTTTCTCCCCTTCCAATGAAATTAAAGAAATTTCAAGAAATCTTGCCACGTTTCCAAGTCTCATGAGATTTGGGGCATTTTTTTGGTGGGGATTCCTGGGGCTGGAAAAGATTACTGAAGCCTGCCATATGTGCCTGGGCTGCTTCTGGTTCAGCATCTGGGAGTTAGGGAGTGCTTCTTAGGGAGGGAGCTGGAATAGCTTGGCCTCTAGCTGCTAATCTAGCCATCCATCCTAGCAATCAGCCAGTTTGAAAGGGAACCTTCAGGTTGTGTCAGCCTCCCAAGTAGACCAGACAGGAAACACGACCAGATGAACTAATTCTACTTTATTGCAAGGCTACGTTAACAGAATATTGCAAGTCTGAAAGTACAGTTCTCCCACCATCTCTTTTTACTGCCTGAAAGTTAGGGCGGGTCCTTTCTAAGTTTCTTTCTCTGCCTGGGACTCAGTTGTGGGCTCCTCTCCCTTTTGCCTGACCATTCCTTAGGCAGCATCTATCCCCATCCTCCCCAGTCTTCCAAGGTCATTCTCACATTCCATTACAGGTTCCCACTATGCATGACTTTGGTTTTGAAAGATGGCTATAAACTGATGTGTGGTCTGTGTTTCTAGTTTAATTGGAGGTTCTCTGTGGAATAAGGCCTATCAAGTAATGTAGACTCTCATTTTTACTCTCCCTCTTATATAGAATCTCTGGAACTTATTGCAACTGCTGCAGAACATTCAAATGCAGCCATCCGCAAAATGGTAAGAGTGGGCAGAATTATAGTTATCAAAGATTGACTCTCTGGGTTTTCCTTTCCTTAGAACTAGGAGTGCATGGGGAATGGATTTGAACTAGATCCTTAGGAGAGACTCTGCATATGAACGGAGCAAAGGCTCTTCAGGTCTGCAGGCATAATTCAGAGGCAGTTTTAATCAAGTATGACATTCATCACATCATTTCTCTTGGCTATTATTGCAGCCTACTATAGAGAAGGCCCTAGTAGATAGTTCAGAAAAAGTGTCAGGAAAGAAATGATGCTAAAGATCTCTAGCCAAGGCTATGGAGAAGTGATATGGGACAGTGCTTGGCTAGATGAACAAAGAGTCTGATCTGATCTGAAACAGTGTATTATGTTCTGTGTAATCAATTTGTAGTGTTGGCCTTCTGCCTCGATCTCCATTTACGCCTACAGATCAACATCCATAGCAGGGACTTGTGTCTTAATCTATTAGTGCCCCAGACTGAGTAGGTACTACTCTTTGCAGTTCTCAAATCCTCTCCTCCCACAATTCTCATCTCTGCCCCAAAGCTCTAAGTAGGCTCTGTTCCCAGGCCTCTCTACCCTGTACTGGTCTCTACAGTTTTTGCATGGAGGATTACTTCAGTCACTTTTGGAATCAGATTCCATATTTATCAAGTCAGACTGTTTGTCTTTCTGGCTCAATTTTAAGTAATCTGGCACCAGCTGTCCAAGGTTTCAGCCAGAGGTTTTTCCCCTATTATCAACTACATGCTCCTTTTTAAATTGGACAGGCCAGGATTAAATCTGGGATAATCTGCATTCAAAGCAGGTTCTCTGTTTTCTCTTAGATGACAAAGTAGTTCTGTGGGGTGAGATTGTGGTAGACATAGAAGTGCCATAAACCAAATCTCTTTCATAGAATCTTTTGACTTCCCCTTTAGAGCACTTTAAAAAAAACTCTGACATTAAACTGTACGATATTGGGTTTTTCATTTATTTTTATTGCTTTAGAGAACAGAAATGAAAATTTAAAAGATATAAAAAATAAAAGAAACAAAAGGATCTTATTATATAATAAAAAGCTCCAGCATTAAACTTTGACCATACAGAATAATATCGGTGAGTCTTGTAATGGAAAGAGCCAGTTCATAAGAAGGGAGCAAATGTATATAATCAATCCAAGACTGTAAATTTGGGGTAGTTTCCTTCATAAAAGATAGATCTTTATTGCTGTGCCCCATGTTCGGTAAATCCAGAATTCCTCCCATACTGATAAATTCCTGAATATCCCTTACCTTCTGCTCCCAATGGACAAATTTCAAACTCTAAGATACTTCAGGACAAGAATTACTTTTTTGCCCATAGGGTCTGAATGTGAGGGTTTTAGGGTCTTTTTGTTTTGATTTTTGTTGCTTTAAAACGTGCTTGTTCCTGCTTAATTGTTTAAATCAGGATAGGTATTCTGATCCTCAATTCAACAGACATAAAGTGTGGAAAGTTTCTTGCATACAAATAAAATAAAGCTTGACAGCTGCAGGCAGTGTTAAATTACAGAATTCTGGCCGCCTTGCTCAAGATACCTATAGTATTATTTTTAGAAGGCTCCCAGAAAGGGGATATGATGAACAAAGGTTAGTGGGAGTCAAAGAGGGCTTGTTTAATTAAGTGACCTCCTTATAATTCAGACACTGACAACCTGGTACATCAAGTAAGATGGATATTATGTCAGTTACAATTAATAAAGAAGTATCTTCCTTTGAAAAGCACAAGGTGCTTTCCATGAGTTTTTTTCCACGGGTTCTTACCTATTACTTCCAGGTCACCTATTCAACTCAATGACCAAGTTCTGTTTTGAATTTGGATTTCCTCCTCAAGTTGCACAGTTCATCCGAAGTGGGGAACCAGATGATCAAGAATTGTAACTCTCAGTGGACCCACAAACCATAGCTGGAAGGGAATTATAGTTCAACAACATCTGGGATGTTATTGGTTTCCCAAACTGTTCTTCACAGGATATTACCTGTTTCAACACAATAGAGCTGTATAGCAATTATGAAGTCATTTTTTACTATAGCTGACTATAACTTCTTCTAGGAGAGAATGCACTCACTGTTGAAAGTGTATGAGCTGCTTGGAGGTGAGGAAGACATAGTCAATCCCACTAATGAACTCATCAAGGAAGGGCACATCCTGAAGCTTTCAGCCAAGAATGGTACCACCCAAGACCGATACCTGATCTTGGTGAGAGAGGGGATGGGAGTCTCCATCCACTATTGGTTTGGCTTTGTCTTTTAACTAACAAAACTGGACAGACAGGAAAGATCACTGGTTTGTGCAATCTCACTGTTATTTTTCTCTTTTGTTTTTTGGTCCAGTTCAACGACCGATTGCTTTACTGTGTGCCAAAGCTGCGTCTTATCGGCCAAAAATTTGGAGTCCGTGCTCGCATAGATGTGGAAGGGATGGAGGTAAAGGAACAGGAAGAAGTGGGAGAATTAGAGAAATTCTTCACGACAAGCAAACTGTTTGACTCACATCCGCCCTTTTGGATTAAGATTGGGGAAATATTGATTAGCACATCCAATGCGAAGAGAGACAAGGGGTGGATTCACTCCTCCTTTTTGGTTCCACTGGGTTCTTAAACGGAGAAGCAATCCAGTGCAAATGTTTTGGATCAGTCTGCAGACTCTTCCTCATCACCATCTAAATGTGTTTCTTCTAGTACATGAGGTGGCAGAAAAGTGCCTTAGCACTCTTGCCTTAGCAGTGAGGCCAGCAATAAGTGTTATCCTCACAGATTTAATGTCAGACAGCTTAAGGAAATTGGTTGGTGGATTCCTCTGGGGTCACCTGATGGTATGGGAAAAACTCACTGTTCCTAATATTAGATTTTGCTAATCTATCAAAACCTGATCCTGATCTTTTGTGGGCAGGGGCAAATTGCTGGATGGAACCACCCATCATCCTGTGGATTGGGCAACGCTTCTCTGGGCAGGAGGCATCCCCAGCCCCTCTGCAGGAGGTGGTGGGCAGGTTTAATGCTGCAGCACCTGATCCACATGGGGATGGAATGGGTTTTGTCCCGAAAAGCAGTGCCTGATCCACAGGGGGATTGGGTTCTGCACCATAAAGCTGGGGAGCATCCCCTGCTTTCCTGGACAGAATGCCTGCACTAAAGCTGCCTACCTATCCTCTGTGGATCAAATGGTGAAGTGCCTGATTCTGACCAGGAAAGCAGGTGATCAACTGCTTTTCCAGGCAGAACATATCTCACCCTACTTCCTGCTGTCAAGGTTGGTGGAATGGCAGGAGAAGCAGAGTGGGAGGTGACCACCAGTTCTCTAACCCCACAGTCACCTTTGTGAGATTGAAGAGCTGCTTGTCCCCTGCCGCCCCTTCCCCCCACTTCTCTTGCCATCCCTCTCAACCCTGGTCACTTAGGGGGCTGCTGCCAGGTCTGCCAGGAGAAGAGGGGAGAGATGGTTCTTCGGTACAAGAGGAGAGCCTGGATTGAAAGAGCCTGGGTGGCTCCTAGGTGCTTGTCAGAACTGAGCCCCCCACCGCATCATCACCAGAATCTCTGGGAAGGCATTGTACCTTGTTTGGATGGCAGGATTGTGCTGGGAAAAGAGAAGAGACATCACTTCTAATGGGGAACAGCTGAATCTGTATGCTGTTCCATGCTGGGCTAAGGGTGAGACTAAGGTGACATCACAAGGGCATGGCCTACAAACACAATTAGTTAGATGTCTTCATGCTATGGTTCGCAGGCTGTGAGTATGAGGCTATATTTATTGTTAGTGCCTGCATGATCATTATTTCATTTCTCGCTGTGTTATCCAGCTCCATTTGAATGCATTTGTTTGAGATAATGGAAGTTTTCAAATTGCCTCTAAAAAAAATTAGGACTGGATTATTAAATAGTAATAAAACACAAAATAATATACAAAATGGGACAGAATAACTTGGGTACATTTTTATTTTAAAGTCAAATAATGAAACTATATTCTAAATCAGTATTTGAAGAAAATCTGAATGGTTTTTAAAATATGATGGATTAGTCAAGGCAGCAAGTGTGGTGTAATGGTTAAAGTGCTGGACTGAAAACAGAGCCTCAAGTCCCTACTCAACCATAGGGCTCCATGGAGAACCTGGTCACTCTCTACCTTTCAACTTAAGCTTTCTCACAAAGTTGCTTTTACGAGACTAAAGGCAACTGAGGTATATTGCTCCAAGTTCCTTAGAGGAAAAATAGGATAGAATGGCAAATAAATGAGTGAGAAATAAATATTTTAAGTAAATACACTGATGGTGATTGTGGGAACCATTTTTCCAAAGCATGGACACAAGATTTAAAAGTTAGTTGTCCTAACTTCTAATATTCATTTAGGCATGGGAGCTGCCCTTGGCAAGACAGTTGAGGAAAGGTCAAGCTTGCCTGTATGAACTAATCTTGTGCCTCTTTCCTTCTTTGTAGTTAAAAGAGACCAGCAGCCTCAATGTGCCTCGGACCTTCCTTGTATCAGGGAAGCAGCGATCCCTAGAGCTTCAGGCCAGGTACAGATGGAAAACCTAGTCTCTCATATTTCCTTTTCTCAAAGGTAAATGAATTGCCCTCCATTGGGCAACTCATCTTTGTTGGCTCAGTGGTCCTCTTTTCCTTTTCCTTTGGCTCCCATTAGTCCCATTATTTGGGACTAGTGGGATTTGGAATCCCATTATTCCTACATCTCAGTTCTCTTTGTTCTTCCTCCACCATCACATCCCAAATCAGGCTAATTGGTCAATCCTCCCATCAACATACTGCAACGTATACAAACGTACCCATCCCACTACTCCTCTTTGAGATGAACAATGTTGTACTGCAGCTATCCCAATAGAATTCCTTGTGTCTTTCTCTTTTAGGACTGAAGAAGAGAAGCGAGACTGGATCCAGGTAATTTCGTATTTTTCACCTGCTGCCCAAACTATACGTTACTGTATTGGTATGGACCAGTAAAGAAACAAAGGAAGAGTCCAGATATTGTTACAACTATATCACCTCCCTTGCAAAGTCCAAATCCATGCCTTTTAAGTTTAGAAGAAGGGGAGGGAAAGAGATTTCCCTTAATTAGCAGAGGACTGGGTATCATTCTAGATATGCATTTCTCAATTTCAGCAACTTTAAGATGCGTGGACTTCAACTCCCAGAATTCCTCAGCCAGCATGCTGGCTCAGAAATTCTGGGAGTTGAACTCCATGCATCTTAAAATTGCTGAGGTTGAGAAACATGGATCGAGGCTATCTTAGAGCGGATGGCTTTCTTAGGCCCAGCAGAGATCTGGAGGGATCTTTGATCAAAATGTGGGGTGGGGTAATCCTGTCTCAAATCAGTTTCTTGAAGGTCTGTGTTGGCACTGTACAGACTGCTCTGCCTTCAAGCGGTGCAGATCCAGGGCATTGGGCAGGCACGCACGAAGATCTCTTGAGCATTGCCATGCATCTTACTAAGTATGTGACAGACCTTTGCACCTGCACCTATGTCTGTATCCTTTCACAACAGGAAGAACAAGAGGCCAAAAGTAAAGGAGGAAGAGAAATTGGGCGGGAGAGGTGGAAGAGCTGTTGCTGCTTTCACCATATACCGTGGTGTGCCAGACAGAATGTGGGACTGTAGAGGACTGTGTATATAGAGACTCCTTAAACCTAGTTTCCTCTCTTGCTTCACTGGAAAGGGCTGGGGTTGTTTTCTTTCCCAGTTCTGCTCTTTCTCTTCCGCTTCCATTTTGTAATCAAAGATACATCATTAAATCTATCAGGCAATACAGGCTACAATCCAGAAACATGAACAGACGCTGGAAATGTTCAAGCAGCTTGCCAGCGAAGATGAAACGCCGCCTAATTCACCAGTGAGTCACAGTTGTGTGTGTGTCAGGGAGAACGAGAGTGAAAGAGAGAATGGCTATGCACCCGCATTTCTGGTGAGATAAGCAAAAATTTACTGATGCAACATGTTAAGGTATATATCGGGGTGCCCCAGCTGAGGGATATTTGTAGGATTGGCTGTAGCCAGTACATAAATTAAAAGGCAAAAAGCTGCAGCAGCTCGTTAGAATTGTGTGAAAATAAAAATGGAATTGTGTAATCCGTGTACCTTCCTGCTGATTAGCAGGATTTCTCTTAATTTTGCATAACTAGTTCTGACATTTCTTGGTTATTCCTCTGGGAGTTTTTCCCAGCCTTGGCAACTTTCAGGTGTGTGGACTTCAACTCAGAGTTTTCTTCAATGGCCACGCTGGCTGGGGAATTCTGGGAGTTGAAGTCTAAACATCTGGAAATTCCCAAGGTTGGGAAACAGTGCTCTAGAGTATGAAATTTTACCAAGCATTGTCTCTATCATTCTTTCAGTCATATTTGTGCTGTTACTATAAACTTCAGGGTGGTTGTTGTTGTTTTAAATTAAAGTTCCCTGAGAGTTTGGACTACTCTCTGAGCCAATGTTACATTTGCCATTGTCCCCCCCTCCCCACTTTGTAACTTTAAATATAATATTAACTGTGTCTGAGTATTGAAATATAAAGTCTTAGCATGCATAGGTTTGTATTAATCTGATTCCTCCCCCTCCGCCCCTGTCCCACACTGCAGGGTTGTGAGTTGGGCCGAAGGGCGCCCACACCAATCCGGGAAAAAGAGGTGACTCTGTGTATGCAGTGTAAAGAGCCCTTCAACGCTCTCACCAAACGGAGACATCATTGCCGGGCCTGTGGCCACGTGAGTGTCTTTCACTTCATATCCCTTCTCCACCCCAATCCCTTCCTCCCAGTTTCCTCTATGGAGAGAGGCAAAGTACAGCCATCACTTTTGCATTAAGCCGTGCTAATAAGAGCCACCTCGGTCTCGTCTCCTGGGATGCGTGTTTTTTAGAACTGACCGCGAAGCCTTTCTGTCTGATTTGTCTGCTCAGAGATGTGAGCTCCAGGGTGGTGTGGCACTTCAGGAATTGGACAGGAGACTTAGGTCCAGCCACTATCTCATAGCCCAAGCTACCTTACAGGATAGTTAGTGTGGAGTAAAATTGAAGAGAGGATTGGTACAAATGTTATCTGGAGTTCTTAAACAAAACTAGTAAATTTGGAGAATTCTGAGGGCTGCGACTGTTTGCAACTTGTCCAGTGCTCTGTCCTTCTGTGATAACATAAAGCATGAGGCATTGCCTTGCTCCTTCCTCATTCCCTGGAGCCTCCAGGCCCTGCCACTTGTCGCCTTTGACACTTGTTCACCTGCTTAAACCAAGGGAGCAGAAAAAAGGAGGAGCAGGCAGCTCTCTACATTTTGTCTACTTTCCAGAGAGGGCCCTCCAACATTCCTTCATTCATACTGCCACAGTTCTAGCAGACTCCTAGTGATATGCAACATAACATTTACAATAGAAACAACCTAACAAACACCTAAAATACCAAAATGAAAGTACTGTAGACACCTCCCAATAATAGAGCTAGCTATCTTCCAGGTGCACTGCTGAATGTGTGTCTCCTCTGGGTCAGTCAGTGTACCAGAACAATGGTGGATGGATCTCTCTTCTGTGTTGAGTGGATTTCCTGGTACATCCCTGCCCCTGGGATTAGATGCTTCCAGTGGTCTTGGGGAAGGGCTGCTGGTTATGTGGGATGGATCTGTTCGAAAGTGTCAAATACTCAGCATAGGGCAGTAGATCTATAAAAGCACAAACAGAGATCTCCAAAGACCGCTCACTGCAAGGAAATTAAGTAGAAAACGTTCATTCAGTAAGTAATCAGTACAGAAAAAGGACAATAAATTTAAATTTTAAAAGATTGACCACAGATTAAAACAATAACTTGTGTCAGGTTCAGCCCAAAGAACTCCACGAGACAGTGCAAATACAGTTCTTTTGCGTTTATTAGCTTCCACCTCAAGACAGAAATCTCTCCAGACTGAACCAAAGTCCCCAAGCCAGCCAGCCAC